AATACACGGAAGAACATGATCATTACTGAAGGCAATAGAACATGACTCGAAGCTGCCTGTGGCCACGCGCGATAAGCGCTAGCGACGGTTTGAGCCATTTCACCGATAAAACATCATTTTGGCTCGACTAACATGGACTAACTGGGCATGAAATGATCTAAACTGAACAAATAAACGTGAATTGTACGAGAGTTGCCGGTTAAAACAAGTAGTTGTTCAATCACGATTTCACTAGGCACAACCGAACTTTAATACGGCCTTACTAAAAATTTTCGAACGTGATTCGAACACTTTAACCTAAAATGAACTTACAGCCATAAACATAAGTCGAGGACGACTATACCTTCTTAAATACTCGCCGGAATATCGAAATTGCCCAAGTCCTTGCGTGTGCGTGCCGGTGCGATACTCGTCATGCGTTGCTTCGGTATGTGCCGTGCGATGCTATGATATGTTTAAGGTAGAAAGCTGAACCACTTGCTGAGCGTATGAAATATTTGGGATGGGATATGCTGAGTATAGCTTATAGGAAAAGTGGGGAAAAATTTCGGTCCATACATGCTTATTTATATTATGGCCGAGAGAGATGGTGATGATGCCTATAGGACGTGGCTTTTTCTTAAGCTTACACTTGCTTTTAATTGAGAGATTTTTGGATGACTACTCCTCCTCCCCACTCTCCTCATAAGGCCACGTGTGCTAGTTAATGTGTGGAAGGAAAATAATTCCTTAAGACTTAGGAAAATTGGGCAAAATTGGAACATATACATATAGCATACGGCCTTATTGATTTGGAACATTATTCCATACGCTTAACCTTAGCTAATGTGATTAATTATGACTTAATCACTTAATTATGTCTAATTATTCAATTAAACATAATGCTTAATTACCAAAATTATTCCGAACGTAAACGGTACGTCGAAAATAAATTTCGGTAATCTCGACTGAACATAATTAATTCCGAAAATAATAATCGATAACATTATTATATCGGAACTAAAACATAATTTATACTAATAAAATGTCGGGATATTACATATACACAGCTCACAATTCTAATCAATTTATTTCAATGCAGACTCAGAGCAAGTTCTAATCAAACAAGAGCACGACCAATGTATCTAAAGAAACAAATAAGGCACAAACCTCACTAGGTAGATATATGAGTACCAATCAAAGTAATCAACCAAGCATTTCATCACGCTATGCCGCATATGACCAACATCACAACTCATCGAATTCATCAAACAAGTCTTAACTAATTTTGAAATTTCCAAAGTCCATACTCAAAAAACATACAAACCCTACACTAGACCGGTCCACCACATAAGCATGCAAAATGTCAACTTCCCTCACACTTCAAATGAGGCAATGTCCTCATTGCTTCAACACATAACCGGGAAGTCAAAGAACAAGACCTAGCAATATCACATGATGTTCCAATACTAGCAGCTAACACAAAACTCAGAATAAAGGACACAAGGAAGAACCAACTCAAAAAGATAAACAAAGAAAAGGTGTGCAAACAAAAAATACATCGAGTAGAGTAAGCATGCACGTGTAAATCACTCGCCCCCGCTCAGCCCCAGAACCTCGATATTTCTCGTTCAACTCAATCCTCGTGCTCGAGCTCGAAAACTAGATCCTATCAAGAAGACCACAAATCTCCAAAACTCCAATTATTCAAAGATAAAACTAAAAAACATAAAGAAAAATATCTAAGAAAGCAATAATCCACTTGGGTTGTCTCCCAAGAAGCGCTTCTTTAACGTCATTAGCTTGAAGAAACCTGTGAGGAACTCAGCCGGGGTCTAAAAAGAAGTGACGATCGTGCCATGCCTTCGTATTCTCTACCAGTGGTAGCATGGGAAGTGTGGCAAGAAGGCGGGCATGGTGGATCTGGGTGGCTATGTTCTGAATGAAACCGGTGTGGGCACGAGCAATCCCTAGTAATTGACATATAGCTTTTCCCACCCGAGCTCTATCGTCATCCTCAGGGATTATGAAAACATTCGTGGAACAAGTCGAGCTAAATTGTGTGCACTTGGTAGCACAGTGTAATGGCTCCGAAGGTGAATGCTCCAATCAGTGGCGGGAGGAAGGACTCGAGAAATGGTGACATGGAATTTTTGGTCAAGTCTACGAATCTCTTCCTCCAAAATATCATCGTCTCGCTGGTGTGCATCATCTTCTTCTTCGGTCTCACACATGTGCATCGGAATGCATGTTTGGGCACCTACCATAAGATGGGAGTCGTCGACTTTCAACTCGAAAGAGTCGAGACGTGCCGTTAGATTTTCCATTTGAGCACTCAGTCGAGCACACCCGAGCTCAATCTCTTCTTCTCAGTTTGCTTGGGCCATCATACGATCTAGGATGAGATCAAGTTTGGCATTGGATCTCAAAGAGTCATCCTCAAGCTTCTCGAAAGGTATGGGTGCCGGATGTGGGTCCACAACCATGGGCTCATTGGCTCGTGACTCGATAGAGTCGATGCTCCTCGCTAGACTCTCCAATTGCTCGCTCAGACGGGCACATCTGAGCTCAATATCTGCTTTTCGGCTTTCTTGGGCGCTCATTCGATCGAGGATAAGATCAAGCTTAGCGTTGAATGCGTCTTCTTCTTCTCGAGCTGCTATAAAGGTAAGAATTCGGTCAAGCTTCTCGTTAAACATATGGGACTCATAAGACTGCTCGATTGGGTAGGGATCCCAGTACTTCTCGGAAGAGTATGAGTATGACTGGCCGTGGTACCCGGCGTGATAGCTCGGCTCGTTAACCCAATATTGGGTATGTGGATATGGAAAAACACGGTTGAAGTTCATAATTCCTGCACACCAAAACAGAACAACTACACGTAGCCACGAAAAGAGAGAAAAAAAAAGAATACAAAAACAAAGACAAAGAAAAAACAAAGATTCACGAAAGAAAGAACCAAAGCACGATAATTACAAACTAAAGAACATACGAAAAAATAAAAGAATACCAAAACCAAATGTCCTACTTGCCTTCCCCGGCAACTGCGCCAAATTTGTTGTAGCAAATTATTTTTATTTTTACCGAGTACCGAATCAAAAGATTTGTTCCCCGGGTCGATCTCTCGAGGAAGACGGTTCGGAATCTAGCATTGGTATTAATCACACACGAAAAAAAATAAGTCTGAAACACTCTAATCACGATTAATTTGGTGAATTAACTAAAACAAGCTAACTATAAAAGCAATTTAAAGAAATAACAATTAAATCTCTAGAGAAAAGGAAGAAGTTCTAGGGGTCGGGAAATCTCACCAAGTTTCAAACTATGTTGAACGATTATTTGTTCGGTTACGAGATTTAATAAGCCTACACGTCTAGAGGACTATGCTCAATAACTCTTCGTAACAAGAGCACATACATAAACGATAAACTCATTCAAACAAGCAACACATAGACAATACGTTTCCGAACAAGTCTACTCTATACGAGCCTAAATCGACCGACATTTCCCCTCTCGGTTCTAAACGTCGATTAACTAGGTTAGAATGGCGATCAATCAACTAACCCTATAATTCACACAACTCGCATAGATTGAACAAAATACATTCCACATAATTCAAACAAGAATCAAAATCCCTAACCCTAGGTGAATGGATTACCTCATGCTTAGATTCAATCTCATGTTAACTAGAATTAAGAACATAAAACCAATCAACAATAATGAAATAGAATTAAAAAACTTACAATCGGATTAAGACTTGAAAGATTTCAATCCAAATGTCTTTGTGTCCAACAATCCAAGCATGAGAAAAAAAAAATAAAAGCGGAGAAAATTATCCTAATAATATTGAGTTTTTGGAGAGAAAACTTGAAAGGAACGATATTGGGGGTTGTTCCTTAGGTCTGGAGGTTCGTTTTGATATATAGTGCGTGAAAAACGGAGCTAAAACGAGTAAAAACGAGCAAAAATAAAAACAGGGGTCGACAGGATCGCGACTCGCGGGTTGACTCGCGAGTCGCGAGTTGGACGGGTCGCTGGGCTGCTGAGGCTCTGTTAAAGTCGCGAGTTGCGACTTCTCTCTGGCGAGTCGCGACTAAAACTCGCGACTCGCGAGATTCTGGGCTGCACTGCGCCATTTTGCGTTTTCGCCTCGTTTGAGCTCGTCCGAACTCGGAATTGAGTTCCCTTTTTTCCTATGCGTCGCTAACGAACCCCTCTATCCAATTATGCTCTCGAAACCAACTTTTCCTGAAGAGAAAATTCGTCTGAATCTTTCGACCTACACACCAAAAACGACAAAACACAAAAGAAAATCGGAAAAACAAACAAAAAACACCTAATGACTCAAAATGAAGGAAAACACATAATAAAACACGAAACGGACGAAAAACTAAAGAAACGACCTAAAACGTTGGAAAAAAGAAAGATAAAATAAACACGAAAAACGCAACAAAAATGGGAAAACAATGGCGACGTCTCTGCGGCATCCGGTGTCTCTGTTGCGTCGAAAGACATAAAATGCAGCGGTTGAGGAAGATGACGGCAGGAACTACGACGATCGAGGAAGATGACGGTGGCGAGGCTGGAGGTGGCCAGCATCTGGCAGTGTGACTTTCTTTTTGCGTTGTGTGTAAGTGTATGTATATGTGTGTGTACTGCGTGTGCGCGTGGGCAGAGAGAAATGATGTGTTGGTTGTGTGATGTGTCAACGCCACGTGTCATTAAATCATTGGGTGTGGAGTGTGTTAGTTGGCATTGACCACACATATTTATAATCAAAAAGTCTAAAATACCCCTAATTAATAAATAAATATTGGATTTTTATATCCGTTAGATCGTTCGATCCGATAATTCTCATGTATTTTTATTTTTTTTATTGAGCACCGTTTTCATATGAACTAAAATCATAATATAATAATATTATATAAAACCCAATAAACATCGGCCCATCTAGTTTTCGCAAATTCTCCATTTCGAATCCACCAGTTTATTACAAAGCAGCTCTCAGTTCGGATCCATAAATGGCGGTCCGGCCGACGATGTCCCGGTTCCCAGCCGACCTGAGGGAGCAGGAGGCCTGCGGCGTGCCGTGGGGCGTGACCCTGACGCCGTTCGCAGCGAAAGACGAGAACGGCATCCCGCCTGTGTACGGATCCGGCGGTGAGTTGCTGCCGCGATGCGAGAATTGCTGGGCCTACTACAACACCTACTGCGAGCAGGATCAGTGGTCCTGGGACTGCGCCCTTTGCGGCACCACCAATGGTCTCACGTCGGAGTCCATTGCGCGATACGCACTTCCCGAATCTTGCCCGGAGAACAAGTCCTCGTTCATTGACCTGGAGCTGCCGCGTACTTTACTCTGTTACTCTTATGAATCTTTTTAGTCTCAATGTCATTTCGTTTCTTTCACTTTCAGAACGTTTTGTTTGAGGATCGAATTCCACAATGCTGGAGCTTTCTTCTTTAACAAGAAATTTTTGGTATGGTACAGTGTAGGATACATATGATTTGGAGGTTAAGTTATTCGTGATTGGTCATTATCATATTATATTCTAATTCATCACTATCCTCAAATATCTTCTGCGACTCCATATTGCCTAGTAATGAATATATACCGGTTTCAGTCCAAGTTGAGAGAAAGATTCATATTGTATTGAATATAGGATTTTACATGCGGTCGTTGCTCTCACGGGGTGCTTAATGGACTATGTTAATTCATTTGTCTACAAGCAGGCAATATGAGGGTGCCTTATGCATAGATTTACATGTGATAGCTATGTCCATGGGATTCGGTAGAGTGGCATCTTGGGTGGAGTCGCACACAAATATATGATATTGCTCTCTCGTTTATACCCTGTTTATAGGTTATAGTGGTACATAACTATGGTTAGAACAACACTACTTTGTTGATGTTTTTGAGTTTATATGGTTCAATTTGTGGTGGCAGTGGAAGAATCTGAAGAAATGCAGGCAAGGCCAGTGTATGTTGCTGCGGTCGATCTCACTTGTAAGAATTTTCAAATTCTGGTATATCATTGCTGGTGTTCACTGTTCCTGTATTGGTGGTTTTCTAGCCAAAAAGATATTTTTCACTTCTTTCATCTTCAACTTTGCTTGCTGATTAAGTAATGAAAATGAGTTAAGTACTGAATATTAGACGGTAGCAAGCATGTTGATGCCAATACAATTTAAGAAATCAATCAAATCACACATTATGTGTCATTGGTTCAGATTTACTGCTAATTTATTTATTTGTATTGCTTGATAAAGGTGTAGCTGGTCGTTGATGTTATGTGAGCTCTCACCGAAAACACGGTTGCTACTTGAATAAAAAGTTACAACATTTTCCATAAACTGCTTTCATGTTCTTAGCAGATCACTTGTTACACATGTAGTTTGACGGATTTCAAGGGCATCTGACCTTTGACTTCTGTGAATTGTCTATTTGTGGAATGCAGCATCAGAAGAGTTCCTGGAACTTACTAAAAGTGCTCTGCTGGCTGCCTTGGAAGGTTTGTTACCTTGTCATTTGAATGCTAGCTTTTTAGCTGTCAAATTGAGTTGATTTTTGATTTAATCTTGTGGTGTTACAGCTCTTGGGCCAGGATCCCTCTTTGGTCTTGCTACGTTCAGCCACAAAATAGGCTTGTATGATGTTCAGGGGCCCATTCCAGTGGTCAAGAATGTGTTCATTCCCCCTGATGACAACCTGGCAATGGATCTTGAAGATGTCATGCCATTGTTTTCTTTTTTGGCTCCAGTATGTTGATTTAATTATTTTTTTGGGTTCTGGTGCTTTCTTCTCATATTCCTTGTAATTTTTTGCAATTCAGATCATTTTGAAAGAAAACTAGTGACATAGTGAAACAATGAATATGGACTAACAGGAGCTTAAGTGAAACAATGATTATTAATATTGTAGGTTGATGCATGTAAGGACCGTATTGCATCAGCACTTGAAACTCTGAAGCCAACAACTTCATGGGAACGGACAACAGCTGCCGGCCAAGCAGTAGATGATGTTTTACTTGGTGGCCGAGGGTTTGGAGTGGCGATGGAAGCTCTACTCAAATATTTAGGATCAGAATATGGAAATACATTTGCGCTGGGTACATTAATGCTATCAATAGACTTCTGTTTTTATATGTCCCTTATTTTGCTAGCGTTGTTTTTCATGCTTCCCATGTGGAGGCCGCTCTCATGACAGTGTCTTTCTATTGAGATTCTTTCATCTGAATTTCTGAATGTTACCAGTCTTGGTGTGCTGATTCAAATTTCCTTTCACCCCTTGAACTGAAGCACAGCTAGAGTTTTTGCGTTTTTATCTGGTCCTCCAGACTATGGTCTTGGTCAACTGGACACCAGGCGGTATGGCGAGCAATATGCTAGTAAAGGAGAGGATGCAGATCGTGCTTTGCTCCCCGAGCAGACTCCATTTTATAGAGATCTGGTACGTAGTTTAAGGCATCAGAAATTCTTTGTCAAAGAGTTTCTTTGAAGGAACAGGTATTATATTTTTTTCACAGGCTGCTGGTGCTGTTCAATCTGGTGTATGTGTGGATATATTTGCTGTTACAAATGAGTATACAGATTTGGCTTCCTTAAAGTTTCTTAGCATTGAGAGTGGAGGTTCGTTGTTTCTATATTCAAATACTGATGATTCAACCCTTCCTCAGGACATGTAAGTGAAGTGTTTCCAATTTAAGAATGATCATCTGAGTTGTGATTAAAATAATATTTAGATCGTATCTGTGAAGTTTCTGCTGGTACAAATCGAACAAATCTGTGATCTAGTTGCTCGACATCTGTTAAGTGTACTTACATCTTTTTTAATGCTTTTGTCAATCCAAATGACCTAAATAATGGATAGGTACCGTATGTTAAGCCGGCCACATGCTTTCAATTGTGTCCTACGCGTAAGGACATCATCTGAGTTTAAGCTTGGCCATTCAGTACGTCGCTGTCCTTAATTTATTTGACCTTTTGCCATTTATCATCACTGTGTAATGATACCTAATGTGGTGCTACAGTATGGGCATTTTTTCCCGGACCCAGAATATGAAAATGTTCAGCACATTATTTGCTGCGACTCTTTCGCTACATATGCCTATGACTTTGATTTTGTGAATGATGCTGGATTTTCCAGGTAAGAAAGACTTCTCTAATGTTGTTTCATTTTAATTTTTCCTTTAGCATTGTAGTCCTATTAGCTTCTGGATCTTGCAATGAAAACCTTCATTTAGTCGGAACTGTTTTGAATCAATTGACAGGGCATGACGATTTCCGTTGGATTATGTATTTTGGTGTTGTTCTGTGCTTTAATATGTTCAATATTCCTCCTCCACTATATTAATGTCAACTTATGGAATACTATTATACCGTACAAGTTTGAGAATTCCTCAGACATTTTCTTCGTTTTTTACCAAAGGGGCGGGGACAGGTTATGGGTGTATTTGGCACTCAAAAGAGACGTCTGCTACTTCTGCTATTTTTTTTTTCCTCTGAATGTGCTGGAAAATATTTGCTTCTTTCATGTTTTGGGTACCAAATAAGTAGATGAGCCATTTGGTAAGGAAAATAACCGTGGTGAAATATATTTCGGAAGCTTGGCAGAACACTTGATAGTGGTTTCTGAACTAATTAATCCTCTATGTCATTTAACTTTTTTTCCCCCTTCTGTTTCTTCTAAAATCAGATAAAATTTTCTGCAGACACAGCCGAGAACGTCCAACATTGCAAATTGCATTTCAGTACTCAGTTGTTGTGCCTTCTGATGGACCCTCCCTACAGGGTTCAGGTTCTTCAAAGAGGTATGCTTATTTTGGTGCAGCTGCCACACATTGTGGATTGCTGGTAAATATATTCAGCTGCCTGCTTGTGTTTTATTGCTGACCTGGAAAACTGAATTAGTGAGGAAAGCGCTGCATGTTCCTATAATTAAGGAGGAATAGTGATTGCACTAGCTTTTTTCTGATTTAGAAGCCAACACTAGGGCCTTCTTCCTGAGCTACTAGTCCTTATGAGTTCTTATCATTAACTTATATATACATTATATGGTCATTAAATCCAATACTGAAAGGGGTGGTCGACTTGATAGTGCTTCCATGATAATAGTTCATTTTATCAACATTTTAGTTGCTTTGAATGTTCAGCATTCATATTTTGTTCCTCCTTTACAGCTCCTCTGTGAGCTAAATTCATCTTTGCATTTGAAACACAAACCATTTGTGGCATGAATACTGATGTGCCTTTGTACTGACAATCTATTACAAACAGTTTCCATGTGCCTTAAATAACCTTGTTTTGACAACACATGCAATAGGACTTTTCAGTTTCACTCAGGAAAAAGTCAAATGCATGACTTTAAAAGTTGCACCTATTAGCGAAAGGAAATTTATTTAAATCGACTTTTCTCTAGTGCGGGTCTGTTTCGGTTCTTAATTTGGGTTGGACTGTGCATATATTGTGTGTTTGCATGTGTGTGTGTGTGTGTGTGTGTGTGTGTGTGTGTGTGCATATCAAAGCAACTTAGGTGGGGTGATATGATGCACTATTCCTTGAGGCGATTAGGAAACTTAAGAAAACTTAATTTTGTCATTCTGACCATCTTATTATTGGTAATTTTGCTGGCTTTACACACTACTCCGGTCTGTGTGTTTTACTTATATACATTCCATTTACACAGAGCTAAATATTCCCTGAAAAGGAGACTGAGGATCAGAACTCTACAACTCGATACGGCTCACAATATCAGTGAAATTTATGATAGTGTTGATCCTGAAGTTGTTCTATCAGTACTTGTTCATGAGGTAATTTCTAAGTACCCGAAGGTTTGGACTAAACTGTGCAGTCATTTTTAAGACTGAGAGTAGTTGAAGAGGAGAAGTTGCCTCATATTCACTGCAGGCTTGAGCCATCACAATTGGAATCCTGAGCAAATTAGAGTACCCAATGCATTGATGAGTTTTCATTGGATATTAATTTTATTTTGCTTTTCAAATGCTGTGGGCCCTTCACACATTGCAATCAAATTGAGGAGTAACCATGTCACCATTTTGCAATTCTAGCGTAGAATTAACTTCTAGGTCCCACCCTTGTCTTGACTTGTTTTTTGATGTGCAATTCTCCAGGTGATTTTGTCCTCTTTGGAGAATGGAGTTCGAGAGGGCCGGATCCTGCTACACGAGTGGCTTGTAAATCTAACTGCTCAGTATAATGATGCTTTCAAGATTGCTGAGTATGCGAGAGGGAACTTAACCACATCTCAGTTTGATGTTGCCTTCACTCAGTGCCCTCAGCTGCAATCTTTGCCCCGCTTAGTCTTTGCTCTCCTCCGGAATCCTCTTCTTCGCTTTCATGAAGAAGGTGTCCATCCAGACTATCGCATCTATCTTCAGTGTCTATTCAGGTACAATATTTTGTGGGATTTATGCCGTCATTTGTAGCCTCATGCTGGTGACATGTGCAAAATTATGATGGTTTTAATCGGTTAGGAACATATATGCTTGCTTCGTTACCTAGAGTAAACAGTTGATAATTTCTTCGCCACATTTTATGACATGAGTCGGTAGCTTGTACTCCCTCCTCACAAAAATATACCACATTTATGTTTGTGTCCCGAAATATCATATATAGGTTTGTAACCCTTTTAGTATGTAATTGAGTTTTCATTCCATGTAGAATCCTATATAAATATTTTAGGATCACGGCACTCCACCTCGACTAACTTTTTTAAAGACCGAGTGGAGAATGAATAAACAATTTTGTAGGCATAAAATGGAAATACAACATTTTGGCTTTGCCTATGACGATACATTTCTTGTAGAATTTTGTTACATGCATATATTCTGACCCGATCAATATGTTCTTACTGTATTATAAACATTGGTTGCATATATTCTGACCCAATCAATAATGTTTCCTTTAATTCCCGTCTCCCAGTTGCCAGTTCTTATGTGAGCATCAACTCTATTTTAGATGTCAAAATAAAAAAATAAAAAATAAAACAATATGTTTGTTCATGTTCGCGCCTGCCAATTTTATAGCTAACTTTACCACCCATCATCGTCCTCACTTGTTGACCATATTATCGCATTATCATACATCTAAGGTCCTAACAATCATAAATTTTTTATGCAGTGCTCTGGAACCTTCTTCACTTACCCTTGCTATATATCCATTGCTGGTGTCTTATGAAACGCCGGATAAACAAGCATTTCCTCGCCATTCACTGAGCCGTGCTGCATTACTAACGAGTGGTAGCCCGATATTTTTCCTTGATGCCTTCACAACTCTTGTCGTGTTCTATTCATCTACAGCTGACTCTGCACTTCCTTTTCCTCCACCTCAGGATTGTAAGTTTGCCTTCTCTCTATGGATTAATTGTGAATACGACCCACTAGGTTCTGCATTGTTACAGAAATACCCAATTAACTTCCTAAATTACAAAATTCCCAATTGAGGGAGATTATTTGTCCGCCTGTATATTTTTAAACACCTGTAAGAATATAATTGAATATTTTACAATAGGCAAACCTATGAGTGTAATTTGGTAGTTGTTACTCCCATTACTCCAATTGGAATAATAGGGACCTTTTGTTGTGCTTACTTAGAAGGTGATTTAAGATTTGTCTTCCTAACCCAGGTTTTCTGAGAAGCACGATCAACAAACTGAAGCAAGAGAGGAATATTACTCCTAAACTCATATTTATTAGGGGAGGCCAAGATGATGCAACTGTGTTCGAGAACTACTTAATAGAGGAGCAGGATGTCGAAGGGAGTGGTGTCACGAGCGTCATGGGTTTCGTCTCGTTTCTGGATGAGATCAATCGTGATGTGGTCGAGTACATGAGTAAACTGAACGGCGATATACGTAAATAGAGGTGAAGAAATTAGTTATACATGCATTACGAAGTTGATCTGTTTAAACTGAATTGTGGATACAAAGGGTGATAAGTTTTGGCCAGAAAATTAAAGCAATACGTTGGTTTTGGTTGACTATCAGGCGATACTCTATTTGAAAGGGCCTTTTGCAGAGTGGGAAATGCGGTTTAGGTTCGTATGAGGGTGCAAATAGCCGAATACTTTGCAGGATCTGTATTAACCATACTTGATGTAACTTTAGTTTTATATAAGATGGACATAGGTTGCTTTCTTTCAACTTTTTAAGGCTTCGAAGATCCATGTTTCGACCTTTTTGTTTTGATCCTTTTAAATTTTTATAATTTGTACCTGTAGTTGTTGTAATAAGAATTGCAGAAAGAGAAAATATAATGTTGGAATCCTTAGATAAAAGGATGTGTTTAATGTTACAATGTTGTGTCCAAATTCAATGTGAGAAAATCTTAATCGTGTTCGGTTTTGAGATGTGAGAATGGAACAAAGTTTCATCACTTTTGTCTTAATGAAGGCATTAAGACATCTCTTCTCCATTGAATGCAAGCTAGCTTTATGAGCACTATAAATAGAGTGCATGTAAGCTTAAGAGGAGACACACCAAGAAGAAAAGAAGAAAAGGAACAGTTTATATAAACATATTCTCTTTCATTCTCTACAAGTCTAAGAAAAATTAAGAGTTCTTGGCGACTGAGCTTCTGATCGAGGTGAGTATGTTAGATAGTGCAGTCTTCACACTTTGAGTCTTCAAGGCAAACAGATTTTCTGTGATTCCGCTATATGTGTTCTGTAGCAATATAGAACTGCCAGTTAACTTATTTATTTTTATATAAATTTATTTACTAATAGAAATCTAGTTTCATATCACGTTCCCGTAGTTGATGTTTGTGGTTTCTATTTTCAAATTCTTAATACGTATATGTATTGAAACTCGTCTTTAATTTCGCCATTTTATTATTATTTTACAACAATCTTGAAGAAACAATTTTTGTGATTAAAACGAAACTTTTCAAAAGTGGTATACGTACTTGTTTTACTATTTTTTTCTTCTTAATTTATCATTATCGCAAGTGGTTCTGGCACCATATCAATTAATGTTATGTTGAATTTAAAGGTTGATTTATCTGGCTTATCGAAAGAATTTTCGGGGCAATTTTTCAAACGTTGGCAGCAACGAATGAAAATTTGGTTTATGATGGACTTTTGACGATAATTCAGGTAGCTAGGCTTGAGCCAACTGATAATGATCCCAAAACAACTGAAATTGCTCAGTGGAACGAAAGAGATCAAATTGGTCGAGGAGCTATTTTTCCAGCTTTGTCGAATACGCTCTTTGATGTTTATTGTTCCGATTCGTACACTGCAAAGTCGTTGTGGGATGAGTTGGACAAGAAATATAATACTGAAGAGCAAGGTCTCAAAATGTATTATGTTTCTAAGTTCCTAAAATATCAGATGGCTAAAGGAAAGTCTGTATCTGAGCAGACACATGAATTGATCAACTTGGAACATTTCATTGTTGATGCTGATATGAAATTTCCTGAAAAGTTTTTTGGTTATGTTAATTATTGATAAACTTCCAAAGTTTTGGAATGTAGTTGAAGCATCAAAAAGGGAAATTGACTTTGGATGATTTAAAGATATCAATCAACATAGAAGAAGAACATCGAAAATAAGTTCATAATATGCCATTTGAACCTAAGGCTAATGTGATAATGGGAAAGAGAAAAATGAACCATGCAAATGTCAAAATGGCCAATAAAGACATGACTAAGACTAAAAATAAGAAACGCAAAGCAAACAAACCATATTGGAACTGTGGACGGGTTGGACATTGGATTAAAGATTGTCCGACGAAGAAAGCTAAAGTAAAACCTGGACTCGCTGAACAACCTGTGGCGATTATGGTTGTTGGGGAACCTAGCAATGTTATCTCTCCAGAGACAACTATTCACGGGTTTGTTTCTTTACAACCTGAGCTTGCTTTTGAATGTCTATGAACTATTTGATTGGTTAATAGATATTAGAGCATGTGCACATTTGTGCTGATATATTTCTTTTTGTGTCTTATCAACCACTTAATGGAAAATATGTAGCGACGGAAAACTCAAGTGCGGCCAAGGTGTTTGGGGTAGGATGCGTGACTTGAAGTTTCCTTCAGGGCGCATTTTATCTCTGCAGAGGGTACACCACGTCCCAACAATATGGATAAATATTATTAGTGGTTCTATGTTAGTCCAATAAAGTTATGAGCTTTCGTTTAAATTGAATAAAGTTGTAATTCAACATTATAATTTATTTATTGGCAAAGACTGTCTGATGTTCTATTTAAAATTCGTGTTTATTATGTTGGTTCTAGTAATAAATTTGATTTTGAAGATTTTATTGTAATGAATGTTACAGAAAGTTCTTCTGTATGACATAAACGTTTGAGTCATTAAAATTATGGTTTGATTAAGAGAATGATAAATCTTAATTTAATTCCAAAACACGACGCTGAACGTAATCACAAATGTCAAGTATGTGTTGAAGCAAAACAAGTAAGAAAGCCTTATCACTCGATAGAAAGGCATTTGAACTACTTGATTTAGTACACATTGATATTTGTGAGTTCAATGGTATTGTGAATAAAGACCTTAGAAGATACTTTATCACTTTTATAGATGATTATAATTAGTATTGTTATGTTTATCTAATTAAACATAAAAATGAAGCACTTGAGGATTTATTATTTTTAAAAATGAACATGAAACACAAACTGGTAAGAAACTTAAAAGGTTAAGATCAGACATAGGTGGAGATATGAATCTAACTCCTTAAGTGAATATCGTTGAAATTTTGGCATAATTCATGAAGAAACTCCTCTATATTCTCCTCAGTCTAATGGGGTTGCAGAACGGAGAAACAAAACATTTAAAGATATGATCAATAGTGTTTTGTTGAACTAGATTTCCTAAATACATGTGGGGAGTAGCTTTGAATATGTCTTGCCATATTCTAAATAGAATCCCTCTGAAACACAATGAAATAACTCAATTTGAATCATGGAAAGGAAGAAATCCTAGTTTAAAGTACTTCCATGTGTGGGGCCGTCTTGCAAAAGTTTTAGTACCTGAGCACAAAAGGAAAAAGCTAGGACCTAAAACTATTGATGCAGTCTTTTGGGCTATGTGGAAACTACCTATGCTCTTAGATTTTTTGTTGTTAAATCAGAAATTGTAGGCATAGATATAAACACAATTGTTGAACTCCGTGATGCTACATTCTTTGAGGATGTTTTCCTATGAAAACAAAAATACTCCAAAATGATGTCTTGGATGCGACCTTTACATCATTATCAATTCCTGAACATGTGGAAAAGATGGAAAATGTGGGGGTTAATCCAAGTAGTTTGGATTCTTTACAAACTGAATTGGATGAACCTAAACGGAGCAAATGAGCTAAAATAACTTAGGTTGTGATTCATACTGGAAGGTACCATTACGGAAAGCAATTTATGATGACCTGGTAACTATTATCTAAGGATTTGTGCGGGAATGTTGTAATAAGAATTGCATGTAGAAAGAGAAAATATAATGTGGGAATCCTTAGATAAAAGGATGTGTTTAATGTTACAAATGTTGTGTCCAAATTCAACGTGAGGAAATCTTAATCGTGTTTGGTTTTGAGATGTGAGAATGAAACTCAAAGTTTCATTACGTTTGTCATAATGAAGGCATTAAGACATTTCTTCTCCATTGAATGCAAGCTAGCTTTATGAACACTATAAATAGAATGCATGCAAGCTTACGAGGAGACACACCAAGAAGAAAAGAAGAAAAGGAACAGTTTATATAAACATATTCTCTTTCATTCTCTACAAGTCTAAGAAAAATTAAGGGTTCTTGGCGATTGAGCTTCTGATCGAGGTGAGTATGTTAGATAGTGCAGTCTTCACACTTTGAGTCGTCTTATCCTGGGAGAAAAGACATATTACTCGTTGCATTGTATCGGGGCGTCTGTTTCTTCAATTCAAAAAGATTTTCTGTTATTCGGCTATATGTGTTCTATGGCAATATAGAACTGTCAGTTAAGTTACTTATTTTTATAATAAATTTATTTACTAATAAAAATCTGGTTTCATATCACATTCTTGTAGTTGATGTTTGTGGTTTTATTTTCAAATTCTTAACACGTATATTTATTGAAACTCGTCTTTAATTTTGTCATTTTATTATTACTTTACAACAGTAGTTTGTATCATCAGCGAGCTGTGAAAACTTGTCTACTTTCTTTAATTCACAGGAATCCCTCTCTCTGGTTACAGTGGGTTATGGTAGGAAAATCTAAATCTATTAAACTGCGAGTTAGATATTTCGTACACTGATTTACACCCCTCTATGCTTGTTGCTGAGCACTTATATTCTTATAGCTTAGCTACCCTAACAAAATAATATTTATTAAATCTAAAATATCTTTTGAAGTTTGCGCTGGCTTTTGGGCACTAGCTTTATGTTTTTTTACAATTTTTATATTAGTTACTAATATGATACTCGTGTACTACACGAGTGGTTGATAAAATAATTAAATCTACAATGAAAAGTAAATAAAGAACAATATATAATAAATAACTAAGTGAATTAACAATATTATTTAAATTTTGAAATCTAATTGATGTACATCATTAATTTTTTTTATAATATTTTTATTTAAAACTCACAAGGGAATAATATGAACAAAACACAAAATTTGGAAAGTAAAATTATATTCACATTTTTGAAAGAAGATAATAAATAGATTTATATGTAATGATTTGAATATATATTAAATATGTGTATATATGGTAATCCGAACCTAAATTATTTGGTATAAATAATTGGTAACTTTTACCCAAGCCATATTACAAAACATAACTTTTGCCATGTAAGATCACGGAGCGTGCCAAGCTCCCACTTAGACTCAACGTGTTCTGAGTATTTATATAATTGCGGATTATACCTTTACAA